GGGGATGGAGGGGCAAGGCGACAATTACGCGACCACCCACGACATCGGCAGCCTTCGCACCGTCGTGGAACAGACGCATGCGGGGATCCGGCGAATCAAGGCCCTCCCGACAAACAAATCGGTAGCCGCCACAGCATCAATGAATGCAGCAGCGAACGTAGCACTGATTGCAGCAGCAGCAACGGCGACACCGACAATTCACGGACCAGTGGCACTACCTTCGCCGAACCTCAAAGTAGCTCGCCCGAGGCTCCCCGAAGCGTTCGATCCAAGCACGAAAAGATCGGACGTTCAAAGATTCGTGGCAACTCTCAAAATTTACTTCGAGGCCATTGGCTGTTCAACCCTGACACACGAAGCAGCAAAGGTTCGGCTCGCAGCGACACTGCTGCGAGGACCAGCACTCGAGTGGATTTACTGAAGTGTCGTGGCCCGCGGGGAGAAAACGTGGGCGCATTTCCTGGCAGACCTCATCGAAAGATTTGAGCTGATAAATTCAGTATACATGGCGCGGCAGCAGATTCATCGACACAAACAACTGGCAAGTGTAGCACTGTATATGCAACAGATGGAGCAATCATTTTAATCACATCACCGATCTGACCGAAGGCGAGAAAATCCAAGCGTACACCGAGGGGTTGAAAATGAAGATTCGCCGACAGGTCATCGCCGCGAACTATAGTAGCTACCGCGACATCGTACGTGCAGCCGAACGATACGACGCGTTGACGCGTGGTCAACCCAAAACACGACGCTGCGGGCCGAACCGTACATTTGGCACGGAGCGATCAGCTCTCCCCATGTTCGCCGAACCGATGGATATCGACAGATTTGAGGCGAAGCAGCAGCCGACAAAATGCAATTTTTGCGGCGCAGCCGGATATCAAATCTTGTCGTGCTACAAAATGAAGAAGGCACGTGCAGCATTGCTGGGCGGCAACAGTATAGCACCCCCGAAGTAAAAAAACGGGAATGGTTAGTAGCTGCGGATCGACGTGGCGATCACGTAAAGATCCGAAAATAGAAAAAGGGCGATGACATGGCAACTTTGGAGCGGGCAAGAAAAAGGAGAAAATGTTGGCGCGAATATAAAACGTCACGATTGGCCGGCAACTGGGGAAAACGCCGAGGCAAATGGAGGCTCCGCGAAAAAAGACTCTGCACCGACCAGGAAACTCCGGCCGAACACCCACGAAAGTAAGAATTCGTTAAAGTTATCCAATAAAGATACTTTAACCAAGAATGTTACTTCTCGTGGTTTTCAAGCCTTAGAAAAATTAAGGGGAGATTTACTGGCCAAGAAAAGGCCTTTAGACATTATTTAGGTACGTGAGAAGTTGGGCAAAGTACTACGGAGCGTAGAAAAGGGTCGTGCGTCTGTGGAGTTAATATTCTCTTCCCGCAGCACATTGTTAAGACTCCCCGTCACCCACAGGTGAAGCCTACACAGCTGCAAAGGCTTAGAGGAAAATTCCAGGCTCATGAGAAGTTGTTCAAGCCTTGGAAAAATCCTCCTATCCCCTAGGTGAAGTTGGAAACTGCTGAGTCAGGTATAAGAAATATGGATGGTAATCATTTTGATGTACCCTATAATCCTATTATGACCCTCTTTGGCTACTCAACGCAGCAGGAACTACTATTCCTCGATGTCTTATGCAAAGGACGACATCTCCAGGCATTGGTGGACAGCGGTGCATCTCACACGGTATGTGACCGCGGGACGTTGGAGAAAATTGGAGAACCTGTGGAGGAAACCAAGTTCACAGCAACGATAGTGGGCTGTATGATACTTCCCATCCACGGCAAAGCATCACTGCAGCTGCATATAGGGGCGTTTAGGTGGAAGCCGATTACGAACATCAAAAGATTTGATTTCATCTTCGGGCGAGATTTCTTGAAGCGGTTCAACCCCGAGATCGACTGGGTCAACAGGAAGGCGAGCATCTGCACCAATGGGAAACGAGTGGAGCTGCGAAGCTGGATGGATACAGGAGACATTCCTGAAACGACATTAGCACGGTTCAAATAGACGGTGAATGAGAGTAACACGGGTTACTTAGCACTGGTCATGATAGCAGCAGAGGAGGAGAAGCCGAGCTCGGAACTACCTACAGCAATGAAGGAGGTCATGGAGCAGTACAAGGATATTATGCCTGATGACCTACCTGCAGGCGTACCTCCAATGCGCACCCACAAGCACGAGATCGTGGAGGAACCAGTGCAAAACCCGTCTCACGTGCACCATACCGACTAAGTCCGACCAAACTGATAGACATGACAAAGTAGATAGAGTATATATTGCACAAACAATGCATCCGCCCATCCACCTCTCCCTACGGTGCACCGGTTCTCTTCACTCCTGAACCAGATGGCAGTCTACGGATGTGCATCGACTACCGCGCATTGAATAAACAGACAGTGAAAAACAAATACTCCATACCACGCATAGATGACCTACTGGACCAACTGCATGGTGCAACAGTCCTTTCGAAGCTGGACCTACGGCCGGGTTACTAGCAGATCCAGATGGCGGACAACTTGATCCACAAGACGGCGTTCCATACCAGATACAGCTCCTACGAATACTTGGTGATGTTGTTCGGACTCTGCAACGCACCACCAACGATCTAGGCGGAGATAAATCACATCATTTGGCCCCTGTTGAACGAATGCATGGTGGTGTACCTGGACGACATTCTCGTCTACTCCAAGAACATGAAGGAGCACGTGGAGCATCTGCGGAAGGTGTTCGAGATCCTGCGGAAAAACAAGTTCTACGTGAAGCTATCGAAGAGCGACATTACCCTAAGAATGGTGCAGTTTCTCGTGTACATGGTGAGTGCAGAGGGTGTACACGTGGACCCACGGAAGATCGAAGCCGTTAAGAAGTGGAAAGTACCGGAGGACGTGAAAGGATTGCAGCAGTTCCTAGTCTTCGCAACTACTACAATAGTTTCGTGCCGCAGTACGCTAAGATGGCATCGCCACTGACCAGCCTACTAAAAAAGGATACGCCCTACAAATGGGATACTCCTCATCAGCAAGCCATGGAGCAGCTATAGATAGCACTGATCACGGCACCAGTACTCGTCCTACTGGACACAGACAAGGACTACGTGGTGGACGCAGACGCTAGCGACCAAGCAGTTGGAGCAGTACTTATGCAGGATCACGACGCGGTTTGCAGCCCATCACCTACCCCAGATAAGAGCTACACGGAGCAGAACTAAACCACCCCTTCCATGACAAGAAAGCCTTACTGATTGTCATAGCCTTCAAGGCGTGGAGGTGTTACCTAGAGGGAGGTAAGACAACTGTCTATACTGACCACTACAGTCTCAAATACATGATGTCGCAGCCAATGCTCTCACGACCACATGTGCTGTGGGTGGACTTCCTGGAGACCCACTTCCACTATGACATCGTCTACAAGCCCGTGCTACCCAACAAAGAAGACGCATTGAGCCACCCCGGTCATGTAGCAGGCATCTAGCTCGACGGGATGAACCCTCAGCTCAAAGGGCTATTCCAACATAGATACTCCGTGGATGCAGAAATCTCTACGGCAGAGAAATAGAAGCTATTACAATGGGAGAAAGACTTAGCTGTAAGGAAGGGCACAGGAAAGATCTAGGTACCGAACTATGCCCCGCTACGACAGTCGTGTTAGAGGTGTTTCACGACGTACCATACGAGGGACATTTTGGGAGCAACAAAACATTAGCAAGGATAGCGAAGTATTACTTCTGGCCTGGAATGGCAGCAGACGTGCAGCAGTTTGTCACCTCTTGCGACACGTACGAGCGGATGAAGAGCAGCAAGCAGAAAAAAGCAGGGTTACTTCAGCCTCTACCCGTCCCGGAGCAGCCATGTCAGGTCGTTAGCCTTGACTTCATCACGAGACTTCCTTCGACGTCATGAGGGCATGATGCCATCCTCATAGTAATCAATAAGTTCTCCAAAACGGGTCACTTCATCCCGGCCAACGCCACGGCTATAGCTGAAGCAACTGCTTGCCTCTTCTTCGTCCGCATCATCACCATTCACGGCATCCCCTCTACACTCATCTCAGATAGAGACCCCAAATTCATGAGTCAGTTCTGGAAGGAGCTCATGGGATTGCTGGGGACTAAACTTGCGATGTCTTCAGCATACCACCCACTGATTGTTTGACAGATAGAGCGACTCAATCAAGTGGTTGAACAGTTACTGCGCACAGCTTGTAAAGACAACGTCAGTCACTGAGATACACAGTTACCGACCCTAGAGTTAGCTTTCAACAACACGTCACATGCAGCTACAGGGGAAACTCCTTTCTTCATGTGTTACGGACAGGTCCCATTTACCCCACAGCAGCCATCCACACCGGCACACGTCCAAGCCACACATGACTTCGTCACCACCGTGTAGCAGCTATGGGAGAAGACTCAACGACGTTTCACCACGATGCTGAGGATTAACCAGATGGCAGCTATTGCCACCATCACGTGTTCTCATACAAGATGAATCAGAGTACAAAGTGGAACGCGTTCTCACTCATCGGCGCTGTGGCGGCAAGACCCTCGAGTTCCTGATACGCTGGAAGGGATATGACCCCACTGAGGACAGTTGGGTTGCAAAAGTTGATACGGGCAACGCACGCCGTACTCTCAAGGTCTTTCTTGTCAAGCAGGGTGTTTCTCACGCCACCCAGCTTTGAGGGGGAGACGTGTGAGAGTATGACGGCTTATGCTGGCTTTGCTAGCTTGCCTAGACTTTATTATGCTATATCTAGCTTGGGTTGCATTTTATCATGCATAGATATGCTTCATTACCTAGGTTAGGTGCATTCCAATATTTTATTATAGTTATAGCACCAAACCATGTTACGTATACCGAACTCAAGCCCATTCGGTTTCCACCAAATTGCTTTCTACCGAGTTCAGGAAGGTTCTGTTCGGGACGCTTCGCGACCCTCAGAACATTCGCGTAACACCTGGGTTGCCTGCCTTGTGTCGAGACTATATGTAGCCTCGTGTTGTACCCAAGTGGAGCATTAAATTCTTCTTCTTCTTCTTCTTCTTCTTCTTCTTCTTCTTCTTCTTCTTCTTCTTCTTCTTCTTCTTCTTCTTCTTCTTCTTCTTCTTCTTCTTCTTCTTCTTCTTCTTCTTCTTCTTCTTCTTCTTCCTCTTCTTCTTCTTCTTCTTCTTCTTCTTCTTCTTCCTCTTCTTCTTCTTCTTCTTCTTCTTCTTCTTCTTCTTCTTCTTCTTCTTCTTCTTCTTCTTCTTCTTCTTCTTCTTCTTCTTCTTCTTCTTCTTCTTCTTCTTCTTCTTCTTCTTCTTCTTCTTCTTAGCAGCATCACTGCTGGAACACGGGTCGTCATCGTTCTTCCGCTTCTTGTTGCTTGTGCGGCGATGTACGGTGGTCTTAGCATGGACCTCCGCGACCTTGGCTTTTCCTTTGCCTGCAGCAGTGAGGCGCGGTTGACGCTCTTCCCTCGAACTGTCGTCATTGGAGAGCACCATACATGCACGCTTTTTCTTGTCGTCATTGAAGGCGATGATGGAGCCTCCGCTTCAGCAGAGGCACGTTGTCGTCCAGCGTGATGTGCCACCGGTCGTCTTCCTCTTCTTCACCGTTGAAGAAGGTTGCATCAGCATCTCCCTTCGCAGCATCTGCATCCGCCTCCGTCTCCGCACCCGCATCCGCCTCCATGTCTGCATCTGCAACCGCATCAGCATCCACTTCTGCCTTTGCTTCCGTCGTCGCTTCCGCTTCCGCTTCGTTGTCTGCATCCGCATCCACATCCGCATCTGCATCCACATCCACATCTGCATCCACTGTCGCACCCGCAGGCATATCTTCCGCCGTCGTCGCCGCAGTGGCTTGCACCGTTGCATGCACCACTGCCTCAGCGTGCTCACCATCAGTATCCACAGCTACATCGTTGTCCGAGTCACCAACTTGCCACTCTTCTGTTGGATGCACGTCATTCTGAGTGCATGTCATCCTAACGTCCTGCCGAGTGCTCGTGCTATTTGTGCTTGCATGATTTGCATGAGCGTTTGTCATTATGCATGGCTGTTGGATATTATCATCGCTGTGTTTTTCTCCAAGTCTAAATGCTTGATCATGCAGGAGAAATCCAGAGCTTTCCAACGATACCAAGATCGCCTTATTCCGACCAAGATCGCCCAAGTTACAATATTTCCAAGACTTGGATTTCTTATTACCTTTTGGGGATATATCTAATTTGGGTGATTACTTGGGACATTACTATAAAGGGATCTTTGGTTGGGGAGTTAGGGAAGGCAACTTTGACTTTTGGATTGGGGTGGCTAGAAGTTTCTAGCATGGGTTGCAAATGTTGCAACACCTAGGCAAAATCCAACTAGATTGGATTTTGCATCTAACACCTCAAGGACCTCATGATGAGGGTTGCATCCTTGCTGCTAGGAAGGTTCCTACCATCCTTCCCTAGCTCTTGGAGAACCCCTTCCCTCTCATGATTCTCTTGGAGGTTCCCAACTCCAACTTTCTATGCCTTAATGCTTGTACTTCCTCTACCATTCTAGTCATGCGGCTGCTGAACGTTTTTACTTGGTTCTCACTCTATAGACCATCTTAACGACTGATTCAACTTGGAGATGGTAGCTAAGCCTAAGGCGCAACTTTTTACTGAGCGGATTTGCGTTTAGTTGAGTAATGAGTTCGTCGTAAGCTCTCAAAGTGTCGGATCCTGAACAACAAGTGGTATCAGAGCGGATAGTCGACTTTGAGACGACGAATCGTCGTGAATTCTCAACCAATGTTGTCAAATAAGACCATTTTCTAATCGATCTGCTTGCGAACGTTCGATTGGTGGTTAAACTGCGTTCTAATTCGAAGTATCGAGTCCGGGACGGTGATTTTCGAAAAGTCGAAATTTCTGGCAGAATTCTCTCCAAACGATTTCTCAAGTTTCCACCGTTCATAAGGCCTCAATATGGTTGGTACGAACTCCGGAGGTGCTAGTGGCGAGATGGATAGAGGTAGAGAGGCTGGAGAGCAAGGGGGAGTTGCTGGAGGAGTGGGGACTCACCAACCAGCCAACCCTACGGTACCCTCAACTTCTACACCATCTCCTACAACCGTGGATCCTGTGAAGGCGTTCTCTATTGAGAAGTTCACGGGGGAGGACTACGAGCACTGGAGCTTCCGCATGAGGCTGATGTATACCCAATACAAGCTATTGGATCTGGTGGAGGGGAAGGGGAAAATGCCAGAGGCCGCAGAGCTGAAAGGAGCGTGGATGAAGCGATCGTTTGACGCGTACATACTAATGGTGCAAGCGGTTGGCGGGCGACAACTTGACCACATCAAGGACCTCTTGGGTGATCCAGAGTGTGGCCCCAAAGCTTGGAGGAAGCTTCTGGATGTGCACTCACCGACACATGCTACCGGCGTCGTGCTACTCGCGCGGCGGCTGCGCGACATCAAGTTTGTTGATGGAGAGCCGATGCAACCGGTGTTGGATGAGATGCGGGACATCTTCACGAAGCTCCAAGGCGGCAGTGTGGTGTACCCGGAGCTCGTGCAATGCGTCGAGATCGTGATACAGCTGCCGGAGTTGTGGTCTGCCCTTGCGATCAACCTCAACTCCCAACAACCCCAATGGAGTGTGGATTACATTTGCGCACGCATCCTAGAGGAGGACTTGCAGCGGCAGAGTGTGGAGCGCTCGGAGGAGGGGGCTGGCTATGGAGTTGGAGGTGGAAAAGGTGGCTTCAAGAAGAAGTGGAAGAGCAAGAACAAGGATAACCCTAAGGAGGATGGCGGCGAGGGTCAAGGGGAGGTGTGCTTCTACTGCAAGAAGCGCGGACATTGTTGGCGGAAGTGTTACCAACGACCCAAGGATTGGACCCCGCCTTCATCAAGCAACCAGCATGGTGGCGCGAGGAGTGGGGGAGTCATGGGAGCTAGTGGAGAGGAGAAGGAGGAGGAGAAAGGCGGCAAATGTGAGGAGCGGAAGGCCGGGTTTTTCTTCTTCGTGAACGAAGGCGCAACCGACCTCGCTATGGCTGCCAATGTTCTCCTACACCCCCTCACCCATTGGGTGATTGACTTGGGAAGCTCCTGGCACATGACTCCTAGTGTGGACCTACTCGATGAGATTCAGCCCGCACCCATCTCTACGGTCACATCAGCGACGGGCGCCAAGGCCAAGGTCATGGGCATGGGATGCGCCAAGTTCATGGAAGCGGATGGAGAGCTCGTGGGGCTGAAAAATGTGCTGTGGGTGCCGGGCTTGTGCGCGAACCTGATTTCTACCGGCCGGTTGGGAGATGCGGGTGTGAACACCAAGACGATTGGCTCGGAGCGTTATCGTGCCTACAACAATGAGCGCCTCATTTGGGACCTGCAGTGGAAGGGAGATGTCCACAAGCGCATGTGGCAGATCCCGGTCCTCCCTTGGCGGAAATCGGGTAAGACGGCAGCGGCGGCATCTATGGAGGAGAGTGTCACCGAGGAGGAGCAACAAGGTGTGCAAGGAGAGGAGCTGATTGGAGGAAGCACGGCGGTGAAGGCGTCGGCTACCTCGGGCCAAGCGGATTGGGAGACTTGGCATCGGCGGCTCGCAGACGTGGCTGTTTCTACATTGGAGGTGATGCACAAGGAGAAGTGCGTGCATGGGCTGCAACTGCAAGGAGATGGCGCTCACTATGGCAGCTGCGAGGCGTGCATGCAAAACAAGTTTGCGCGGTTCCCGTTTCCACGTGCAGAGGGATCAGCCAAGGCACCATTGGAGGTGGTGCACATGGACCTGGTGGGTCCTATGAGGACTGAGGGGACTGGGGGAGTGTTGTACTTCCTCACCATGGTGGAGGAATGGAGCCGTTTCACGTGGGCACGTCCCTTGTCCAAGAAGAGCGATGCTGCAGCGGCAATCAAGGAGGATTGGTTGCCGATAGTGGAGCGGCAAGCGATGCGGCTGGTGAAGGTGCTGAGGAGCGACCGTGGTGGAGAGTTTCTTGGAGCGGAATTCACCAAGCTTCTCAAGAGGAACGGCATCCGACACCAACTGACCTGCCCATGAACACCGCAGCAGAACGGCATTGCTGAGCGTGCCAACCGGACTATTGGCGAGGCGGCTAAGACCTTGTTGGGGGCTGCTGGGATGCCCTACAAGTTCTGGCCTGATGCTGTTCGCCATGTCATCAAGGTCAAGAACAAGGTCTTGACACATGTTGGCAACAAGCATTGGGTGCCGTACGAGCGTTGGCTTGGGAAGAAGCCATCCATTGACATGTTGCGGGTGTGGGGCTGCATGGGGCTTGTGATGGTGCCTAAGGAGCAGAGGCACAAGCTGGAAGTTGTTGCTGTGTGGGCTGTCCATCTTGGGATGGCTCCTGACTCGAAGGGGTGGCCGATGTGGGACCCCAAGAGCAAGAGGACGCTGGTCAGCCGTGACGTCAAGGTTGTGGAGGACGTCATGTACAAGGACTGGGAGCAGCAGCAGCTGGTGCAGATTGGCTTGCGTCTGCAGGAAATTGAGCGCTCTGCAGTGGAGGAGGTTCAGCTGCACCTTGATGAACTCCACGGGTCAGAGCTGACCAGTGACCATAGTGGCGGTGGTGAGCAGCAATTTTCTGGTCCTGCTGGAGAGGAGGGGTTGGAGGATGAGTCTGCACGTGTGGACTCACCAACTCAGCCCGAGCCTGCTGCAAACGCCAAGGTCACCAAGAGGAGTGTGCAGAGAGGAGCTTCACCACATGGGCAGCAGATTGCAACCCGTGAGAAAAGAGTGGCAGCAGCACCCTCAAGGCTGAAGTATAGCCGTTTGGGAGGACCCAAGCAAGGTGCCATGGCGGTTCAGGCGGATGAGGGAGAGGATGAGGAGATGGCGTTCTGTTTCTTCACACCTCTGCCTCGAGAACCAGCCACAGTGGAGGAGGCACTCAGTGGACCCCAGAAGGAGGAGTGGAAGGCTGCCATGGATGCGGAGCTCAACAGTCTCATTGAGAATGGGACTTGGGAGCTTGTTGAGTTACCCGAGGGGCGACGGCCGATCCGCAGCAAGTGGGTCTTCAAGGTGAAGAGTGGAGCTGATGGTGCGTTGGAGCGGTTCAAGAGCCGCTTGGTCGCCAAGGGGTTTCAGCAGAAGGAGAAGGTCGACTTCGGGGAGATCTTCGCTCCCGTTGCTAAGCTAGTGACACTGAAGACTTTGATGGCTGGCGAAGCTGTAAAGGGATGGCATGTGAAGCAGATGGATATCACCACTGCGTTCCTCAATGGAGTGCTGCTGGAGGATATCTACATGGCACAGCCCGACGGCTATGAGGATGGGACCAGCCGGGTGTGCAAGCTTAAGAAGGCCAACTATGGCCTTAAGCAAACGCCCAGGTGTCTGTACAAGAAGCTGGAGGAGGTGCTGTTGAGTGGACGCTTCAAGACGTCCCAGTCGGATCACAGCTTGTTTCTGCTTGGTGAGGGGGAGGAGTTGCTTTTGCTGCTGGTGTATATCAACGACATACTGCTGTTCTCACATTCCATGGAGCAGATTGAGAGGACATAGAAGCTGCTGATGGACAACTTCAAGTGCAAGATGCTGGGGGATGTCCACTATTACTTGGGGCTGCAGATTGAGAGGGATGTTGAGAGGAGGTGGCTGAAGGTGCATCAGTCACACTACATCTCTGGTGTCATGGAGCGGTATGGTGTGACAGGGGGTCGCACTGTGATGACACCGTTCCCTGCGGGCTTCAAACTGAAGAAGGCGGCTGAGGAGGATGATGTACTCAAGGATGAGCAGCATAATGAGTAACAGTCACTCATTTGGAGTGTGATGTATGCAGCTGTGCATACGCGACCTGATGCTTCATTCGGAGTGGGGCAGCTGGCCAGACTTGTGCAGTGGCCCACTGAGGAGCTCTTGGAGGTGGCAAAGCGCTTGGTGCGCTACCTTGGATCAACGGCATCTGCTGGTGTTCAGTTTTCAGCTGGCGGCCAGCTGAAACAGATTGGAGCAG